CACCCTCTCTACCCAGACAGCAAATTACATCTTTGCCACCTCTCTCCACACCACATCTCCTGGATGGCATGCAGTGACTTTTAAGCTGGTGCGTATGGGTGTGAATCAGAAGAGGAGAAAGCACAAAGCTGTCAGTAATCTGATCATGCGTGTACCTTACAGGAGGCCACAGTGCTCATTGCAGAGGCACATGGCTAGGTTTTAAACATTCTCAAATATCGAGCTAAAGGACATCACCTCCTAGATCTGACCTTAGATCTCCCTGTTCAGATTGCTTTTCTGTTTAACAAAAGCATTCCTCTGTCCTGCTTTGGGTTCTTCTGTCTCACTTAAAGCTGCCTGCCAGATCTATATAATCTGACTATACAGAAGAAGCTGTACAGGTATTGTTGAAGTGATACAATTTGTGTGTGCAGGCAAGCTCAAATATTACAAGGTCTCTGTCTTCTGAGGAATATTAAGCTGTACTGTATCAAACAACTGTTACCTGTTGAGGTTTTTGGAAAATAACTATGTGATTTTCAGGGCAATGTAATTGATTATAGTTTCCTGCACATCCATCACCATTAAAGTAACTTAGGAGACCTGTAGTCGGATATGTTTCTGCAGACATTCATTGCATGGCTGAGAGTCTGCTCAGCCTGTTTTCTTCTTGAATGCATGTATATAGGAAACAGAAACAATATGTCATTTATTCTTTGTGGAAACAAATCCCTAGATTTGCATGTCAACTGAAAAAAAAAAAAAAAGATTAAAACCCATCCATCTAACTCATCCTCTATTGCAAAACGTTTTTCTTCTGCATAATATTTGTATCAAACATTAGAAATCACTGGCCACCTTCTTGGATATCATAGAGGTAAATTATACCTTTTCTGATTCTGCTCCAGAAAAAGCGTTTATTGACTTGGGAGGGAGGGCAGGTAGGCCTTACGGTTACACGAAACCTCTGACAGATACTCAGGAATCTCTGTCTCCAGTGTGTTCTTGCCTCCAGCTGAGTAGTTAAAGTCATCTTACCAGGAAGGATACCACTGACCTCCATGCACACTTGTTCTTAGGCTGCCTGTTAGCTTTTCCCTAGAAATACATCTTTCCTGGCATCGGGTTTGAGAAAATAGCACTTTTTTGCTCCCCCATATATTCTTCTTACAGGCACTAGTATGCTCTGGTACCTTGCCTAGTCTCTGTTTTTGAGGTTAATTGCTAGGGTACTCGACTGGATACTCTTAGTTATGAACACCCACAGAAAAGGTACTTTTTGAACATGTACTAGTAGACCTTTAATCTTCTGATCTGAGACTGATACCAAAAGCTTTCTGTTCCTAGGTAATGAAGAGCGAAAGGTTAACACAGACCCAAAGCAACAATTGCAATTTCCTTATCACCATTAGACTTTGGAGCAAAATATAATTTGCAACCATAAAAACACTAAAAGGGTTTTTCTGAGGCCTAGCCTCTGGCATACCAATCTGAAAAGGATACTTTGAAATAACTTGAAGATCAGGAGGTAATTCATTGCTTGAGGAAATGGCAAGAACCTTGCTTCTAGCAAGAGTAATTTGCACTGTGTTTTGGCATTAAGCTGTAAAGATGGAATTTAAGAGACCGTAGTCCACATGAGATGCTCAGCAGATGCACGCATGTCTTTTGGGGGTTAGTATCTTTTTAGGAGATGGGTACTTTAAAATAGCAGAATGTTTGTCTTGCAGACTGTTATTTTTATTTTAGAAAGAGCTTGATCTGGGAATGCAAAAAACCAAAAGAAATGGGAAAAAGAGCCTTTTTGTTACTGTTCCAACCCTGCTTGTACTGTGCATTTGTAAGAATAGCAAATAATGAGAACCAAAATTCTAATACAAAATAAAAGCCAGGGCAATTGTGTGGATGGCAGAGGAATTTAAAACAGTTCCATAAAACTAAAACAATTTTCTCCAAATTGCATTGCTTATACAAATTGTATTGCTTATCAGAGAAGATTGCCTAGCTTCATAGCTAAGGGCTGGACTGGTTGCTTTAAGAGGTGTTTTCCTAGAAAGTGGTTTGAAACAGAAACATTTAAGAAGAAAGAGCACCCAAAGCGAGCCAACAAGGAAAAATAGAAACCCATGACCTTTAAGAAAAAGAAATAGTTCAAGAATAATGATAAAGGCAGCACTAAAAGTAGCTAGTGGAAACCCAGCAGAAGACAGGTTTCTAGAGCAACATCCAGAGAAAATAAATGGAAAAGAGACAATCATTCCTTTCACAAATTAAACTAACCCATCAGTGGAACTCACTGCCACAAGGCAGATCTGAGGTCAAGAATCACAGATTCACAGAATAGTTAGGGTTGGAGGGGACCTTAAGAACAAGGGAGTCATAAGCAGTAAAGCTGTGTTGTTTATCATGTATGGCCAGACAAATTCTGGAGGTTTTGGGTCCGGCTGGCTCCTTGGGAGTTGTTAAACACCCTAGTGTAAGCTAACACAGCCTGTGCTTCTAATTGTCTGAAATTCCTTATCCCGCAGGATGAACATCGGTGAATGGCAGCATTCACATATACAGAGAGTAAAGCAGATGTCACTTGGTTTTCAGGAAGCCTTGTCTGAAAACGTGATTCCAAACTACATGGATAGAACAAATGCTGTGTTGATTGTGAAAGTGTAAAGCGTGGTGATAAATGGCAGTATCAGAGATTGTGTCATTGTGGATGGAGGATCCTGGAAGGTTTGATGCTGCAATCCCATTTTACTGAGTATCTAATATCTAAAATATCAAATAAATGGTACAGTAATGAAATTTGGAGACTGCATCACATTTGGAAGAACCACAAATATTCATGTTGGTGGAGGAACAAATATAAGGGACACCAAGATTTACAAAAAAAAAAAAAAGAGGAGAAAAGGTTATGAATGATACCTGCTGTGGAAGCAAAGCACAAACTGCAAATGTTATCACAGTTCTTCAGTTAACATCATAAAAAGTTAACTGATCTTCTAGGGTGAAATTCTGACCTCAGTTGCATGTAAACGAGAAAACTACCAGTGACTTCAGGAAGTTCAGCATTTAACTCTCAGCTGCTTTTTTTTCTGTTTGAGAATGGGATTTTCAAATGTGACCAAGAGATTTAGAATCGGAATCATCAACTGGGTAGAGCTGGGAGGGACCTTAAAGATCATCTAGTTCCAACCTCCCTGCATATACCTGCCCTTTGGTCCCTTTCAGTACAGTTTGCAAAAGCACATTGCTAAACAGGTAGCATACACATCTGCTTGAAAATGGGTCAGCCTTCCTTACCAGAAAAGACCAACTGTTTATATTTCAGTGATGCTCAGTTCAAACTGCACTATCCTGTGCTACATCAGTTCTACGGGTATGTCACTGCAATCCAATCTATTTAAATTTATTCTTCTCTTCCACCTTCACCAAAAGCACGTGGGAGAAACACTAGAATGAGTTTTTCCAGCATTTTAAAACAATGTTTAAGAGAAACTATGTTTTAGCCCAACACGGGTTATGATGTAGGAAGAACTATGTGAAATTTAAGAGCCTGGGTTATCCAGGAGGTCAGACTACCTGATCCTGGTCCTTTTCTGCCCTTTAACTCACCGAATAAATTAGAAACCTGATCTCTCAAAGTTTTAATTTCAGAGCAGTCTTTGTAAATGGGGGTGGAGTGGAATTCCTTATAAATTACATCCTCCTCCAACATTCATTTTTTCTCCCTGAGAAAGGGTTTCTTTTAAAAAACAATGTTTAGTTCCACATATTTAAATTACAGAAATTCATATCTCTTTATGTCTTACACCGTACTGTGTGCCAGCACAGCAATTATTAAAGCATTTTTATTGATATTACACAGCTCTCTGTGAAATGTGAATTAAATTTATCATGAAAATTGATTTTTAATGACAGCTCAGGTTTACATTTCTAAAGTTCATACCTTTCCACTATTTTTTTTGTTGGCACTAGAATAGGGCAGCTACAATAACTTTGTCAGAAATGGATTAGGAGATATCCTGTAGTTTACTCGTATTTATCAGTATAATTCTACAGATGAAAGCAGTACAGTTTTCTACTGAAGTTAATCTGCAGAGAGCAGAACTGGACTAACTGGGCCACATCTTCATACTCGAGTACCTGAAGTTCCTACATCTGCCCTTAGGCACTTACAGGATTGTCTTGATTTTTAAAGCCGTTGAATGCGCTCAGCTTTCATTTTAATTTGATGAGAATAATGGGACAGCACATCCCTGGAATCGAGGTGTCATCCTTTGCCTCTTTCCCCCCATATATTATCTTTCCTTATTGCCAACAAACTGCTGGAGGTAACTTTTGGTTTAGCAGACTGAACATGACACTGGATACTAAAGCAGTTAACAGTGCAGGGAATGCTGCTTTTTAACCTACATGTTTTTTCAGCTGCTGCAGATGGAAGGGGCACAAGAATTTTCCAGGCTTGCTATTTAATGTGTTGTATTAATATGCTTTCATGAAAACAGTCATCTGACATGGAACATGCAGGAGCAGAGTCTGGGCTTACAGGTCTCCTCCGGCCTTAAGCAGGCTGAGGACAGAAAGGTACAATGTGAAGTCAAATGCAGTTACTGACCACTGCAAACAATATTATGTCAACTGAACATCAAGCATGCTTAATGTTCAGGTAGCTTTCAGAAGGAAATTGGGTCCGTATTAGCGTAAGCTACTGTGGATAAAACCTCCAACTTGGTGAAAATGTCACTTTTGCTTCTCCAAAATAGCCGTATTTCTCTAAGACACATCTGTGCAGGAGGTGGGGGGAGGCTTGGGTTGTTTTTCATTGGCTGATGGGGGAAGGTTTATTGGTTGTTGTTAAAAATGATCCGAAGCAAACTTTTACAAGGTCTTCTGTGACTAATAAAACCTGAGTCTTTGAAATGTACTACAACCCAAGTTGCTGTTAAGAGATAATTCTCTTCGATCCAGATGCTTCCATCTCAAGTGCAGTGCAGAGAAAAGAAAAAGGGAGAAAGAAAATTGATGGAAAGCTCCTGAAAGCAGAGGGGGAAGTCTGCAATTTCTCTCCCTTTAACACTTCATACACTGAACTTGGGAAGTAGCTTAACGGCTCCTCTGCAGAGTATGGCACGATGGGGACTGAGAAGGACCCCTGCCCCGTGTGCTTACCTGTGAAGAGATCCAGGGAAGTATAGTCCTTTCCAGGCTGGGTAGGGCACTGACACATCAGGATTTCATCTGAAAGGTGACATTAGATAAGGTGGGGTTATCTTCCTCATAGTGTAATCTCTGTATTGGTGAATTTTTCACCTCTTCTTGCACTCAGACCCAAGGGCCTGCTCATGAGCAAGAGAGTGAGAGAAGGCGTGGAGGCATTTTCTCACTGTCCTGCAAGATGCAGTATGGCTGCTGCTTGTACAGTGATGCAGCATCATCTCCTCCTGTCTTCAGAATATTCCCTCCAGAGAGGAATGAAGATATTTTCATGGCCACCCATCTCTTGAGTGTTAATTTCATTTTTGGCCAGTCCTTTCCCCTACTGCCTGTTCCCTCTTACATCTTGTTCCTGACCTCTGGACTTCATGCTTTAGTCTGGAGAGACAGAGACTTCAGTCATCTCTGGAAAAGCAAGTTTGTCTGTTTGTAAACAGTAAATCACGACTGGCAGCTTTGTTTCATGGGACACCAAATCCTTCTGACTAGTAGTGATAGCTAGAAATCTAAGGTGCCTTTAAAAATCCCAACCTATACATCCAATATATTCTGCAGATGGTACACAAGCAGCCCCAGTCTTTACAGAATCTCACTGGTATGTCTCACTTACCTGTTTGCTTACCCCATCTAAAACATCCCATCAGCAGACACTGCACATATTTTGTTCTGAGAAGGCAATCCCTTTTTATCTCCCATGAATTTGAAAATACACCAAGCTCCTCAAACGAAAAATAAAAAGAATAATGAGGCAGACACAAGCAGTATAAATCAATATAGCACTATTGATGTCAACAGAGCTATGCAAATATATACTAGCAGAGGATGACAACAGAAAATCAAGTACTAACTTTATACGGAGAAAGATAGAAACAATGGCAGCAATATTAAATACACTTTTCAGCTATGCTCAGAATGGATTGTGGAGTAAGTCATTGTTGTAATATGTAATTTGAGAGGGCTGTGAATTCTTCTGTGAGCATGTTGCTTCAGGAGACGGAAGAAAAATCAAAGCACAGCCTTGCAAGTAACATTCCCCCCTGATATTAACAATAAAACCATAACACTGCTTGGCTTTAAGTAACAATTCTAACCAGTTTTTGCACAGTGTTACAAATTCTGCTCTGCCCCAAAGAGTCAAGGTTGCAGCAGTGCCCCAACAAACGCCATTGGAGGCAAGTGATTTGCGTCAGCATTGGTCAACATGGAGTTTTACTAAAAACATTATTTCTGAAGTCATTTCTGCCTGCAATGAGAGTTATGGTTGTACTGCAGGCAAAGTTCCAGTAAGGCACTGGGTCTGCTTGGATAAAGCCCCTTAAGAGTAAATAAGAAACATACCGGTATCATTAGTGAATGTGCTACTCTCTTTAGCAGAAGAAGCTGCTGGGCTCACACAAAGCAGTGGTGGTGACAGAACGATGTATCTTTTGGTTAAGCTGCCAGTTGAGCTTTGGTTTATCAGCACAAGACTTACAATACGCATGAAGCCCCTTTGTGAGCTGATGAGCTCCTGACTCTGAGGTTCCCCACTGTCAAATCTGACCACAGAAAAGGATAGTGGGTAAACAGAGCTAAGGAAAAAAATCATAATTAATAAATCAACACCTTAGCAATTAATGTGTGCGCCTATCCCGTAAGTTCTTCACGTAGCAAACTTGTATGTTAAATATTCACCTAATATTCATTTCACAGAATGGAAATATTCCTCACACACATTAACTGAGACAATTACTGAAACGCCAACATCAGATTAGCTACTGTATCTTGAAAAGAACAAAAAAGGAATCATTGCTACGGTGAATTTCAAAGTGTTAAAAGGCTCAAAAGGTTGTTCAACTAGTAGACGATTTTAAGTAAAGCTAATAAAACATGGACACTTCATTATTCATTCATGAGAAAGGCTGAGTTCAGACACTGCATTTCAGTAGAGAAGCTGGTCTATAATATCCTGTCTTTTGTTCATCGTTTCCATGATCTCCATACATATCTTGTTTATGTAGCAATTCTTTTAGTGCACTGAAGCCCAACCCAGGGAGGTCAAAGAAGAAATCCTCACCGTTTCAATAAGCTTTAAATCTGGTCCCAGTCACCTTCTTCCCTACTTTGGGATGGAGCCCTGCATAGGGCAGGAACCTCATACTGACAGCTCAGTGCTTTCCAGGAAATAACTTCTCCCTTCTTTCACTGAATCCTTATTGAAAGCCTTTCCTTGTGAGTGAAACTGCAAGATCACCTTCACCTTTAATTTGTAGCAGGACTATAAGATTCAGATCAAGAGCCACATCAGGAGATTTGTGATCCATTTTCTGGCTCTGGTTCTGATACGTGTCATGAATAGTGGTGTGCAGATTACTCCGGTCATTTGTTCTTCACTCAGACCGCCCATGGGTACGGGAATGGAATTAATTTCCCTGTTTGCAAAGTGCCTTAATAGTGCTCACAACAGCAGTCATGAGCCAAGGCTAAGGACATGCTGCCTTGGGTGCTAAATGCTACGGGGAACTGAGGTTTCCAAAGTCAGCTGGAGAATTTGGATACAAATTATGGGAATTTTAATAGGCATCCAGATCACCGAGGCCAGTTTAAAACATCATCTTTAAGCATCACTAGCCATAATGACTCCAGCTTTTTGCTCCAGTCATTTTCTCCTGCGTATCCAGTTAGTCATTATTTCTTTGTATTCTGCCTCTTTCCAGGCAGAGACCTTCTAACCATAAAGCTTCCAGGAGCATAACCTACTGTCAAATGAGGCAAAACACCAAATAATTAAATGAATAAGCAGTATCAAGGTCCATTGAAGGAAGAGTTTGATTAGGTAGAAGGTGGCTTATGATTTACTGATCTGATGTACCTTATTTTCATCTTCTCTTTTCCTGTCAGAGTGTTCTTGCCATTTAAAAGTTAATGTCTTGATTTGACATTTTCTCCCATTCTGCATCCCACTTGCTATAATTACAGCTCTTCCACCTTCCAGTGCAGCTTTTAAACACATTATTATTTATGTATTTTTAATCCTTTTTTCCCCCAGACTCAAATTTATTTGTAATTTCTCAGGGAAAAAAAATCTAGTTAAAAAAGAACTCCCAGGGATTATGGGAGGGGAAAAGGAAGGAAAATAGGATAAGGAGAGTTATTTCTTGTATAGGGCATAGTTGAGCTAATAAAGGAAAAGTTTCATCTCAAAGGGCTGGTCAAATCTTTTCAACACCAGACAGATGGGATCATGAATCCCTTGAGGTGGGCATAATCTTTGTGTTCTCACTGCTGGGCACTGTGCAAGCAGAGGTTCTTGCTCATGACCAGTGGTCTGTTCCCAAAGCAAATAATAGCAGCAATAAGTTAACAATAAAAAAAATATAAACTGTGAGATAGGGGAAAAAATGATGTCACAGGGATATCAAGAGCAGGCCAGCTATATAGCTGGTTGTGCACTGTGCATAGCCAAGACTTTACCCTTGGCACAGCAGCACCTCTGCAGACTGCTACATCCTATTTGTTACATGTTGAGCAAACAACACTGTCCTGTGGGAGGTGCCATATTTTAGCCCTTATTTGAATCATCTCTATAGGTGTTTTTTGTTAAAGCATGCAGTGATCCAGTGAGGCTTTCCAAGAACCTCCCCACAGACCTAGCTGCCTCCAGAAATGGCAGGTAAAGCACTTCACCTCACCTTTCACAGTAATACCATGAAAACCTACTGTCCTAAATCATGCCCAGAAGCCTCATACTTGCATTGCACTTGTACTGCTCCTCATTCTCCCTCCCTTCTCAAGATAGTCTTTTACAGTGCAACTTAGAAAATTATGATGGCGGGCTGATCCAGGACCAGCCATCAAAAGTCCCGTTCACAGGGCTGCTGTAAAGCCATGTCCCAGCCCTGTGGCAGTCATAGAATCATTTGGCTTGGGAAAGCCCTGTAAGATCATGGAGTCCAACCGCTCTATAATCCTCACAGCTTTATTATAAACTGATGGCTGGTACCACACACACTGAATTTCTCTGGAACTCCACACTGAACCAGAGACTGGAAATGCTAGACGCCCTTCAAGTAGTAAATGCCTTTTCTGAACATCTTAACTTAATAGGGTTTTATTATTTCAGCCACCTGCAAAATCAGAACATGACTCACTAGGCTGAAAATGTTATCTTTTCAAGATCCCAATTTGTTGACTGTGTGTGTATGTGGGGAGGGTCTTGTTTTCTATTTGCTTTTGGTTTATCCTCAATTCTCATTTCATTTCCCTTTGTATTGATTTTGCAATTTTCCTTTCTGCTTTTCACGTTTCACACACTTAATTTCAGAGATTCTCCTTCTTTTCTTTCTGCATTAGTATTTAATATGTGCATGTGTCTCCATGTTAAACACAGCGGTTCTCGATATCTTATCACCTTCACAGTACTCTCACCAAGACTTTCCTTCTTTTGTTTCTCCTTGGGTCACACTAATGGTTATCCTGGCAGTTGGAGTGTTGGGAACTCTTTTCAACTAAATAAATCAAACCAGAAAAACAGAGTACAGGGTTTCCTTTGATAACTCCTCTGGTCCTTAAGCAAGTTCATAGGCTCAGCCATATTTATAGTATTGCTGAGCAAATGTTAGGATTTCAGCAGAAAGTCTTATTCCCTTCTTTATTATTAACACGTTAATGTAAAGGGAACTACAAATGGCTGGAGTGTGAAATGCTATTGTCACCGGGCTCAGTATTTCCAATGGATGCAATATTGATCGGTACAGATCTAAAAAGAGAGGGTGTAACTGTCCTCAGGCCTCAGGTTTAACACAGAGCAGCTGGACAATGCCGCTTACACAGACCTCTCCAGACGCTTCTCAAGCATCCTTAGCTTCAGGAACAGCATTTCAGTGACTGTGGGACTCTTCACCTCCCCTTCTGTGCTCTGTCTTGCCCTTAGCCACCAACATACACTGCAGGTCAGAAGGGGAGGCATCATGGCTCTGCTGCATATAGTGCCTGCCAATGGTTAAATGGTATTTTGTGAGTCTCCTTCAGTACAGCTGGAGGGCAAAAACGTACCTCCTCCACCCAATATTGCATTTAAGAAGTTGTTATATGTTGCATGGTGAGAGTCCCAAGCATATAAAAACTACGCTGTGGTAAAAGCACATGTACATCTGTTTAACTTTACTGCCATGAGTAGTCCCCGTTCAAATCTCTATGATTAATCAGAAGCAAAATCTGAAGTGTAGGAAGGGCAGGACCAGGACATTACAAATAAGCAGGCTGAATCTCCTCATTCGAGAGAATCACAGCACATACATTTGCTGAGGACAAAAGATTGGCCAATTTCTTATACTATATTATATCTGTATTTCTTATATTGCCATGGCCTCAGGAACAGCATGAATTGTTATCCTGCCTGGTTTTGATCCTTTTAGAATCATAATCTGTTGCTTTCATTAAACAGCTTAATTTAGTCATTCTAATATTTTCAATTGAAAAAGCAGCACCCAGTTTCAATGAGTTCTTGGCTTTGTAGAATAGGATATGATCTACTCTTACCTCAAATCTTTGGTGTCCAACAGTATTTCTAGTGTCAGCAGCTAAGGACAAGTGACTGTTCAGTAATCTCAGCTGTTAAATAATAAGAAAAAAAGACATTAGCCTTCAGGGGTTTGAGAAGACTGTAGTATAGTATACAGTACACAAATCACATCCTTTCACAATGAGCTGTTCAACATAGTTTTCACAAATCAGCCCTGTAATTTTGCAGGCTGTTGACTTGATTTTAGCAAATTTGGCCTTCAGAGTTTTGAGAGTATGAAATCTCTCTCTGTAATTACTGAGAATCCTTTTTTCTTTTAAAGGCTGATTTTTAAAATTGATTGGAAATTAATTTACCTAGCTTGAGTCTCAGAAAATTAATTCTGTATTCACAGAGCAAGTTGCAAGTTTAGGGAGGATATGCTGTGTTCATCACACAAATGAGAGTTAATAGCTGTTTTAAGCGCTGCATGCCTACCAGTGCACAGTGTAGAGCTGCAGAAGATGCTGAAGATCTCTATTACAAAGATGAAGAGGATTGGGTTAAACAGCACGAATTATTCTGTGTTTTGTTTTTCACTCTTATTATTCAGACCCTCACAGGCTGTGTCAGATGTTGCATTTTGCCAGGAACCTCTTTCAGAAACACTTCAGACATTGTTTTCCATGTAAAAAGCTGTGGTTTTCCAGGAGTGATTCACCAGCAGTGAGGTGTAAATGAGGCTCCATTTTTGGTAGCTTGGCTAGACTAAGGTTGTGTGGTAATAAAGCTCTGACAAGAGGAAATTTGTTGGTTGATTTATCATTTTTCCCCTGAAGAAGAAAGATTCTTCTGCCCAATTCTATCTTGAAGAAAACACCAAGAAACCTCACTAGAAAGATTATAGTAGAATGCCCCATTTTGTCAGTATGTGGAAGGCACCGGGATGACTGCCATTGCCTCAACAGCTCCCAGTGCTCCTGTAGTGTTTCAGTAGAGGAATTTTGTTCCTCTAAAGAGCTGGATTCTCCTGAGGAGCCAAGCTGACCCTTCCAGAGCTTCAGAATGCTATAGCAATGGAGATAAAAACAGTTCAGAGAAAATGACCCACCTTGGAGCAACCAAAATTTAGGGAAAGCCAAGCCTGGCCATTTATTTATACAATGAATGATGATGATATAAAACATCAAGAGACAGTGGCAATATAACAACCCCTAAAATGATTTCCAAGCACAGCGCTGTACTGTTTAGACAATCAAAATTACAGTCTGAGAGTACAAGATTAATTAAACTGTGACAGAAGACAGTATTTCCAAAATCAAGTGAAGTGAAATACTTAGAATCCTGAGTAGTAAAATGACATAAAATTCAGGAATACCTGCTCTTTCAGATTTATAGATCTGCATCCTCAGGCTCTCCACTTGCTTTACTTAATCAGCCATACAGCCTATGTGTAGACAAGGAAAGGAATAAGGTAAATAAGCAAGTGGTGCATAAGGGATACTGAAGTTGGACAAGGCTGCATTTTCTCTTCTTCTCCTCTTTCTCCACTCAAATCTTCCCTGCCCTCCCCCTCCTGCTCTGCTTCTCACTAGTGCTTGTTGAAGGCCTGTCTGGGTTTTTCTTTATTATTACTGTTTTATTAGAAGTTCAGTTCCTGCTGTGTCTGAAACATTCTGCGATAGCTGGAGAATAAGTCAAATGTGACACTACATAAAATAAGAGACTTGACTGACTGCGATAGGAGGAGATTTACAATCTGAGCGTGCAAAGCTTTGTGTTGTTGGGTTTTGTTAACACTTAATTTCACTTCTCTGGCTGGACTCACATTTTCCTCTATTAAACTTTCGCCCAGCTTCTTCTCCCTTCAGATATTCTGGGAGAGTTGAGTAAGTGCATTTCCTGAGATACCCTGTTGAAGGATTAAAATAAGTGCTTTGGCTGAATTACTGGGGCCCAGGGGAAAAGTCTGGGGATAGAAACCCTGGATGATGAGACAAGGTCAGATGCTGGTCAGCTGTAATCACCCAGGTGAAGCACTGACCTGCTGGAAAGTAACCACAGAGACAACATGAAGTAAGACAACATTAAGTAAGGGCAAATTGTCCCCACACTCCACCTGGATGGTTTCACTCGCTGAGTTTACTCACAGCTCTCAGGGAGGATGGCGTAACACTTCGAGTAAAAGCAGAACTGATCTGTACCCCACATTTTTAAGGGCTGGGTTTTTTCTTAAAGCAGTTCCCTCACCCATCTTCTCCTCCCATCACCCTTTAAAGAGCTGTCAAGCAGCAGGTTTATTTTTGCTGAATCCAAATTTAGGGTGTTAGGGAACAAACCAACCAGGGACACATTTCAGAGAAAGACTCCTTCACATTTTCAGCACAACACACAAGCAAACAACTCTCTTTCTGAACACTTACATCCACCACCATCTCCTCTTGCTCCTGCATTTCTCTGAGCTGAAAGTGACTTGAACAAGTTCCATTCTGGCAATAAGGAAAATAAAGCAATATTAATATTCTACATGATGTTAATAAAGCATCATCTTACACTCCATTCCAGCTGCCAGAATCTAGCAGGGACCCTTGCAGTGAAAAAGTGGGTACCTCCATCTGATTACCATATCACAGCCCCATCCTGTCTTCTTCTTCATGCTCCCCTGTCTACATTCACTCCCTCTCTTTCTTTCTTACCAACACAAGCTTTCCAGGGCAGCAAATGCTCTTTATGTTTTACATTTGCACAGTTGCAAGTACAATGCAATTCCTACCCTTAGGCATTAGCACAATATAAGTCTCAAAAAAAACAGTATTACATTTTTGCTTCTACATATGGCTTTGTGTAGAACGTGGCTCTGAACTTGGCTTGGCCGCAACCATCTTCTCTGTACAAACAAGCCAGAGGGAAGCAAGTCCATGGGAGCATTAGGAGCTGGGTAAGGAGAAGGGCTGAAGGGTGGTTGCACAGAGCAGCGGAAGGCTCCTGGACCTGGCACAAAGGGGAGATTGAATGAGTGGGTGCTTTTGAAGTTGGTCACTGCTGAGCAGCATAAGCACTTGAGACCTCACTGGGTCCAGCCAGACACAGTAAGCACAGCTCCTGGGAAAAGCTGAGCATAGACAGTCAGCAACCACCACTGCTTTGCTTGCCCCGGGGCAGGAGACAGCACGAAGGCTGTCAGAGGCCACCACTTGGGTGATTTTGACAGTTGACAAATATCCTGGTGGAGAATGACCTATTCACCAAAGGCAAAATTAATAATGGATGAGGTTTGAAGGAACTGTTCAGGAGTGCTGTGTTTGGCTGTTAGGTAGCGGTGGTCCGGGTGCTCAAGGTCACCACTAAAGGGGATGTTTAATGCCCAGCTGACACTCCCCTTTGATTTCAAGCTCCCTTTAAAATTCATTTGCACACTCCCTGGCTGACTGAGATACACGCTGGATTAGTAACACACACCGCTGCTCCTCTCAGCTCCCTTTTCCTTTCACTGCCTTTGAGCATTCCAACAATACTTTTGCTCTTGCTTATCTCAGATGTTTTATCTGTCTGCAGTATTTTCTCCCTGTGCTGCTCTCATTTCCCTCTCTGTCCCTCCATGTAATCCTTATCCTACTCTGTGCTTCTTTAATCCTGACTGCCCGATTATGCAAATCGTACATTTGCATTTTGACAGGGCTCCTCCACCCCTTGTCTGACATTATTTGTAACACAAACCATTTCTCCATGCTCCCCCCAGTTCCTTGCTGCCTCTCAGGTTCGTCACTAGGATGGTGTGTTGAAAATGTGGGGCTCAGCCTTGATCCCTCTGCCAGCTCTGGGTCTGCAGGGCAATGCAGGCAGTCCTAATGCTGGGGCCATGCTGCACAGGACAGCTCAGAGAAGATCACTGACCTCTTCTTAATGTGTTGGTTGAGAGTAGAAATAGGTCTTCTCACTGGAACTCCCTGTCATCAGGTACAGGAGGGCTGTAGCTGCAAGAAGCTGAAGTGGGAATATTAGTGCAGGTGAAGTAATCTTCTCCCACTTTGTGTCATGGTTTAGACTGGGTATTAGGAAAAACTTCTTCACCTAAAGGGTGCTCAGGCACTGGAACAGCCTGCCCAGGGCAGTGGTGGAGTCACTGTCCCTGGAAGTGTTCAAAACAATATAGATGAGGCCCTCAGTGACATGGGTTAGTGGTGGCCTTGCAAGTCTTGTGGGAACAGTTGTATTTGATGATCTTAAAGATCTCTTCTGTGATTCTATGATTGAGGCAGGTTTCTAGTATTTTTTTTCAGAATGCTGTGGTTTTATAGCTATTCCTCAAAGATTAGCTGCACTTGTCTACATCTCGGCATAAAAATAACCCATAGTACCCTTAAGAATCAAGTTCAAGTAGAGAAATTAAATGCTGTTTCTTTCATAACTTAGCAAAACACACAAGATCTTATAATAGCATCTTCCACATTAAGGTGTATTTATTACTACTGTACTCTGCACCAGCTATTATAATGCCCTCATCTCTAGAACATTGAAGGTTTTTCTTACTAGAGTAGCATCAGTTTCTGCTTCCACTCACTCTCTTCCTTGGAGGAGGTTTCTTTCTGCAGACTCGTGTTTTATTTGGGTAAGGTCTTATTTATCTTAATTCTAAGTACATCCTGCTCTACGTTTATACTGGAGAAGACAAGGTCAGGAAAGTATACATCTTATTTAGACTGGAAAGTGCTGAAGTCTGAGGGCTCCCTGGGAGAAGTCTCCCAGTGGTAGGCAGCATTCTTACTGCTCTCTCATGATGACCTTCATTAGCGCCCACACGAGTTCATTACCTCATCTTCCAAGAAAGCTTCATATCTGCAACATGTCACGAGGTGGTAAAATTACATTTAAAAGTACAAAAGCCACCTTAGCTTTGCTGGACTGGAGCCAGGCTTGCACAAAACACCAGTGGCATCTCCAATCCTATCCCACCTTCAGGACACTGCCAGTACAGAGGGATTATTTGCATGTTACAGATGCAGCAATGTATCCCCAAGAGATGACCATCCCCTAAGGTAGGAGAGGCAAAGGCTGGGAGTGAAAAGGCATCACCCACAGTTACACAGAGGCAGGAATAACTAGCCCAAGCTTAGCAAGAAGCCGGCAGGAAAGCTGGCAGCCAGACCAGGGCACAATGAACCGCACGCTATGAAGTTTGCTGCGTCATTTACGTACACATGAATTTTCATAACAGGAATGTATTTTCCCTCTTCTTTCTTTGTCAAGCCTGAGTGCACAGTTACAAGACAAAATTGCCTTTGTTTTCCAGCAGTGCTGTCTGTGCCTGTTTTCCATTGCTGCTCTCACACCCATTCTTTTTTGTCATTTCCAGCCCTGTTACAAGCCTCATCTTTGCTCCTCTCCTTTTCTTCGCCAAGACAACATGGAAAATTCACAATGCTGAGGCTAAAGTTGGTCAGAGTGCTGTCTTCGCTCCCTATGTTTCTTCAACCCACATTTGCCTTTCAACTTCTGTTTTAATCTCCCTTTTATCAATCTCCAGATAAAGTCCCGTTGGTTTCCATCTAGTCCAGCCCCTCATTTACATTCCCGACGCATGCCTTTCTATACTTAGCTCCAACTTCCTTCTCTGTTTTATCACCTCTCTTATCTGCTACCTTCAGCTTAGCATCTTTTATCTTCCCCTTTTCCTCCCCCTCTCCTTTTTCTGTCCATTTTTAAATGAACACTTCATGCACCACAAAGTCCACTGCCATCATTCCCAGTCCTGAGCTCCAGCTGGCCTAGGCATGCCTTCCCTGGCCAATGGAGCAGTGCTGTGCATCCCCTGCATGCACTGCTGGATAAATGGCTAGCATTAGAAATGTTCTGTGAGATGGATACCTGTGGCAGTGCTAATGTGCCACCACTAGTGCATCTTGCTGCAGTCATCACATCGGTCCTGGGGGAAATTACAGCAAGATGATGTACGGCACTAGGCCTCCTGTTTTAATCCCGGCTCTTTTGCATCCTGCCAGAGAGAAGCACAGTCACACGAGCAGCTGGAAATCACTGGCCTGTTATCATGGTGCTGCTGGATCATTGCTTACTTCACCCTGCACTGGCTCCCATTGTGTGCCGACTGCTTGTCACCAAGAGAAGATGCGGGGGAGTTGGACCAGGAGAGAGGAGGGCTGGAGGAGGAGGTGATTAACACTAATGGTCAGGACTGGTGAGACGAGGCTGGTAATGGCTGCTTGTTGCTTTTTGCTAGCTGAGTAGAGTAATAGCCATATGAGAAAGGGAAAGGTCAGATACTGGGGGAAATAGAAGATACTTAAAGCTAAATGCCAGAACATCAGTTTAGTGAACTAAGGAAATATTTCCCCTCTTTGTGCATTATGGGCCTCCAGAACAGCAGAGCAGGATTGGGAGGTGCTGCCACTGCCCCTGCTCTGCTTTGGCCATGAAGGGGCTGCTGCAGCAGGGAGGGGTTTTCTCCACACCTCCATCAGCACGGGCACTCAGTCACGTTTCAGTGCGATTGATGTAGTCACGGATCACTTGCTTAT